AAATTTAATGACGAAAAGAAAGAAAAAAATAACAAAACGAAAATTAGAATAGAAATAAAATTTCAGTTAAAAAAAAAAAACCCTTAGGATAGTAAATTTTATTTAGTTTTAGCATAGTAAGGATAAAAATTAAATATGAGAAAATTTTCATAACTAAAATAAAAACATATTAAAAAATAGAAAAAAACATAAATTTTTACTAAAAGTTAAAATAATTTTGATTATAAGGATTAAAATCACATATAATAAAAATTTACTATTTTTTATAGGGATAAAAATCAAAGATCGGAAAAGTTGAATGACCAAAATTTTTTTTTAAAAAAACAAGAATGAAGGGACCAAAATAAATAACAATTTCCTAAGCCAAAATCGAAGGTGGGGGGGGGGGGGAAGAAAAAACAACGGCTAGGCTCGCGCGTCGAGCCTAGAGCCGCTGAAAAGAGAAAAAAAAACCGAGGGCCGCAACTTCGGATGATCGAGGTCGTCGAAATCTTCTTCGAAAAATCGAGGTTCAAGTTTCGGACTCCTAGAAATTGAATTTTGGCATCATTTTTTTCCCCAAACACCTCTAAATTACCGGAATAAAGCCAATAAACATATCTAAAACCTTAAAATCATTTTAATGCATAGAAAAACAAAAACAAATTACACAATCAAATCGAAACTTTGTTTCCTTTTTGGCTCCGATCTACCTCCTCTAATGGTTTAATGCCTTGAAACAACCATAGACAAACTCATCTCTAAAAAATAAACAAATCTAGTGAATTTTTGCTGACCAAAACGGCCTAAATAAGCTTAGCTCGTGATTTTCTCTCTCCTCACGTCTCTCTCTTCCCTCCTCCCTTCTCTCTCATCCGGGGACCAAAATGGATGAGCAAATGAATATGTGGACCGAAAGATTAGTTGACAAAGATCAAGGATCAAAGTGTAAAAACTCAATAAATAATGAACTCGTGAGTGTGTGAACAAGTATTTGAAACATGATAAATCGACGTTTTATTTTAGCTTATTTAGTTAATTGAAGCATTTCTTTATTTTTTGTTTGTTCATATTAATTTTTTTTTCATCATGCATGGAGCTTAGATATAGGTACAAGGTTATGTCAATTGTCATTGCCACCTACTAATTAATGGGACGAAAGTGTACAATGCAATGGAGTGCAACTATATTATTATTTTTTGTTTGGTAGTGATGAAATTTGATCTCAATAAACGCATATAAGGCATCTTTTTTTCCCGATAAGTATCAATACTTTTTCTTATTAAAATGGAATTTATCATGGCATACAAAAGTTGATAAAAAAAAAAAAAGTACTAGTACGGCTAATACGAATTATTCAATATATTTAAAAACGAGATTTGAATCCTTTTATATTTTTTGAAGAAAACATGACCGATTTTATTTTAAATTTCACCATTCGCTTTGAATTAATGATTCAGAATTGATAAAAAAATATAAAAAAAAATTAAATTGTTTCTATTTTTATTAATCATTAAATCATGATCATTCAATTATTTAAATTTAATAAGTACAACGGCCAGGTTACTTTAAATACACGAGAGAATCTTGATAATAAAAACTGTATTCGTTTCTCTTGTAAAAGATATGAAACTTATGAATTATTTTTTATAGTGGATTCCATATTTTTAAGGAGAAGTGAAGTACAACTCGTGAAATAATTAATAATTTCTCTCCAACTAAAATTAAAATTAAAATATTAATTATTTTTGAAAAAAAGTACGAATAGATCGACCAAACATTAGGCATATAATATTGAATCTTTTCCATCTATACATATTTGGAATAACTTCCATCCAATTCTCATTAAAAAAAAATAAAAATTAAAAAATACATACAAAAAGTATAGTTAATCAATATTATCACATCCTAAAAAAATAATAGAAGTAATCCAACCTAAGCCTTTTTTTAGTATACTAAATAAATCCAAATCTGTTTATCATTATAAAACAAACTAAACCAAAACATAGTTTTACTATTCATTTTACTATTTGAAACATTATTCACACACTCACGTATCACTATTCACACACTCATAAATCACTATTTATGTCATTTTTTTAACATCTTGGTCCTCAAATTTTTTATTTTTTCTTTTAATTTTAAACTTTAATTATATTGTGATTTGATCCCATTTTGTTTTAGTGTTTTTTATTATTTAAAATTTACTATTTAAATTTGTCATTTTGTAAATTCTCTTTATTTTTCAATTTCAAACTTTAATTTGTTAATTATTTTTATTATTTAAAACGTACTACTTTAATTTGTTATTTTTTTAAATTCTATTCTTCTTCTTCTTCTTCTTCTTTTTTCAATTTCAAACTTTGATTATATTGTGATTTAATCCCATTTTATTTTAGTATTTTTTGTTAATTATTTTTATTTTTTAAAATTTACTACTTTATTTATCATTTTTTTTAAATTCTCATTCAATTCATTTAAAATTATATTTATTGACAGTTTTGATTTATTTTTTTATATGTATGGATTTTGGAATAAATATTTAGAACATGATTATTTTTTCTTTTGAAAAATAGATTTAGATCATTTTTAAATTATAGTGACATGATATATATATATATATATATATATATATATATATATATATATATATATATAATTTTTCTAAAATACATTTTGAGATTAAAAGTATATTTCAAATAATTGTTTCTTAGTTTTTTATATTATTTAAAATTTACTACATTAATTTATCATTTTTTTTAAAATTCTCTCTCTTTTTTTCAATTTCAAACTTTGATTATATTGTAATTTTGTTCCTTTTTTTTAGTATTATTTTAATTATTTTAATTATTTAAAATTTACTACTTTAATTTGTAATATTTTAAATTCTCATCTAATTGATTTAAAATTATATTTACTAACAATTTTGATTTATTTTTCTATAGGTATGGATTTTGAAATAAATTTTTAGAACATGATTATTATTTTTTTTCAAAAATAGATTTACATACTTTTTAAATTATAGTGACATCATTCATATATATAATTTGTCCGAAATACAGTTTTAGATTAAAAATGTTTTTCAAATAATGTTTTCTTGATTTTTTTTATTATTTAAAATTTACTACATTAATTTGTCAGCTTTTTTTAAATTCTCTCTCTCTCTGTTTTTTTTTTCAATTTCAAACTTTAATTATATTATGATTTCATCCCATTTTGTTTAGCATTTTTTGTTAATTATTTTTATTATTTAAAATTTACTACTTTATTTTATTTTTTAAAAATTCTCATTTAATTAATTTAAAATTATATTTACTAATAGTTTTGATTTATTTTTCTATATGTATGGATTTTGGAATGAATTTTTAGAACATGATTATTTTTTCTTTTAAAAAATAGATTTAAATAATTTTTAAAACATAGTGGCATGATTAATATATATAATTTGTCTAAAATATATTTTTAGATCAAAAGTGTATTTCCAAAAAAAAACATTTCTCAATTTTTTTTAAAAAAAACTAAAATTAATTAATTAATAGTTGAAAGTCAAATGTGATTAATAAAAAGAAGATGGTTGCTCTGTGCATGATGCCTATATTCAAGAACTAGCTATGCATAACATAGAAATAAAAAAATGTTTAAGAAGGAGGAAAAAAAGAAAAAGAAAAAGAATTCACATGTTTTATTAATTTTTTTCTTCTTTATAATCAAAATTATTTGAAATCAGATTTGTAATAATTTTTATTTCAATCTATTAAACTTCAAATTTAGTCAATATATTTCTTGCAGGTTAACTTTTTATAGTATTTTTTTGTTTTAGACTCGAAAACTTTAAACTCGCTTAGTATAGTTATGATGTATAAAAAATATTGAATCGTTGTTTTTTTAGAAATCAACTATGCAACAACTACTACACTAAACATTTACTATTTATTTATTTGTTTTTGAATATTTTAAAATTAACTTATTTTAAATTAAATAATTAAAATAATGTTTTGACTTAACCACTCAATGGTTCAAATTAATATAGTTTTTTATTTAACTATTATTCATTCTTTTGTAAATAAATATATAAAAATTAAGTTCACATTTTTTCAAAAATCGATATTCTCATCAATGTTAAATAAAAAAATGTTTTTTTCAATAATATGTAAGCTTTTAATAATTGTTATTTATGTTTTTTGAGACAATCTTATGAAATACTAATTTTTTTAAAAAAATTATTTAATTTTGTTTTTAGTTAATGATCCATGGATTATGTTTTTTGAGACAATCTTATGAAATACTATTTTTTAAAAAAAATTATTTAATTTTGTTTTTAGTTAATGATCCATGGATTAACAAGGATGAATCCTCTTTCTAAAAGAAAAATTATGAAAAACACAAATAAGAAATAATTAAATTCAAAATTTTTTATTAAATAATTTTTTACACTTCGATTTGATATATTTTTATAGATTCATACCATAAAACAAACAATCAAACTGAAATAATTTTTCTAAATGATTTTATATATTTTATTCAACTCGTAGCGTAGCGCGGGCAAAAAAAAAAAACTATTTTATACTAACCCATTTAGGACAAGACATTCCTATGAGAATATATATATACACATATCATTTTATAAATCAATAAAAATTATTTTTTTTTAACGCCACTCACATTAATCTAATGCATTCAAAAAAATTTTAATAAATTATTCTAAAATGTTGACTTCAAGTTTTGAGTCTGAAAAATAAAAAAGGGCAACCAATCTCCTTAAGCACATGACCAACCGGATTATTATATTGTTATCATAAACCATAAGGGGGACAGATGCATAGGAAACAAATTGAGTGGTAATTATGTAATTATGCAAATGATATTTAACATACATGTAATTCCAGCATTATATTAAAGCCTATTTAAGCATTCAAAAATACCAATTGACACGCGCACTCTTCACTCCAGTTCTTATGCACTAAACCCCAGAAAAAACAAACCAAACACTCTTTAATCTGTCGACTCAAGGGAAAAAAAAGATGCCAACACAAGCACAGCGCCCTCTGCTACTCCCCTTCTTCCTAACAACCTTCCTTGTCTACTCTCAACCAATCTCAACCGTCGCTTCACCGGAGCCCGCCTTTTCTCCATCCAACGGCTCAGATTACATCCGCTCAAGCTGCGGCGCAACATTGTATCCTGAAATCTGCTACACTTCCCTCTCTCGCTACGCCAGCGCCGTACAAAAAAAGCCCGGTCGCCTAGCCCGCGTGGCCATCGGCGTCAGCCTCTCCAGAGCACGCCGCATGGCAGAATACGTCTCCAACCTATCCCGCCAATCCGACTTCGGAGCCGACCACCGGGCAGCCGCCGCCCTTCACGACTGCTTCTCCAACTTGGGAGACGCCGTTGATGAGATACACGGGTCGTTGAAGCAGATGAGGCAAATTGGAGCCGCAGGATCGTCGGCAGAGTCGTTTCTGTTTCAGATGAGTAACGTGCAGACATGGATGAGTGCGGCTTTGACAGACGAGGAGACGTGTACGGACGGATTTGAGGATGTAGGAGATGGGGCCGTGAAAACAGAGGTGTGTAACCGTGCGGCGGATGTCAAGAAGTTTACTAGTAATGCTCTTGCTCTGGTTAACAGTTATGCTGCTACAGGAACGCCTTGATAAATATCATGTTTCCTTTTTTTTTTTTTTTAAATAAACCTTTGATTTGGATATAGAATTAGCGTGTGAGCGTAAAACATGGTAGGAAAGGAAAGGTGGGTTTATGGTTTTTTAATGTTGACTGAGTGAGTGCTTGTTATGTATATGTGGATTAATTTGCAACTAGTTTTGGTATTAGTTTAATTGTGTGTTCTAGTATATATTTTACATATAGGGTAAAAGTTGATCGGAAACTGAGGTACTGTAATCCTGAGTGAAAATTTCTGAGTGAGTTGAATAACTGCAGTGGCAAATTCTACCATATTAAAGTGAAAAATTTTGCAAAAGGTCCAGTGAATTTAAAAAATGAGTGGAGCTTCTCCATCTTTCTATGGTTTCTTCTATCTTCTGCTATCTCCGCTGCTTGCCAAGCAGACTGGTTCCAATCAATCAGGGAAACATTTACAAGCTTACAAGCTGAGGAAAAAAATTGAGTATGTAATATGCTCTTACATTAAATAAAACTTAAGGGGCTTAACCACCGGTTTTAAGCACTATTAATTTTTTTGTCTCCTTATAATGATATGATTAATCATGATTATGGTTGCAATGCCCACCAACCAAAGTAGTACTAAAGAGCTCCTGTGAGCAAGATTTGGAGGGATGTGCAAGTGATACGCATATGCGTTCACATTTTACTCAATAATGATGTTTCTTCGGTTAAGTTTATGATAGCAGTCCTTAAAACAAATTAACAAAGCAATACCCTCGATAGCAATATGAATTGAGAATGGCTCTCTCGAGACTTTATTTATTTTATTTTTTTCCTTTGCCCGCCTGATATCTAATGATGACGAATCTAGTCCGACACGTTCATTATTCCATTTTAGTTACCGACCTTTGACCTCTGGTCAAACTAATAGGTATATGCATTAAATAATGCTTTTAGAGGAATTGTGAGAAAATATAATCTTGCCTTTCATGTGACTTTCATAAATTATTTTTATAAAGAGTTCTATATTTTTATAAAAAATAAAATACATGAATTTTAACATGTTTAATAATCATTCCAACTTCTAGTAACTTGAATGTTTTTTTTTATTTTTAATCCATTAAAAGACTAATTAATTTTTGAATTATACAACTTCTTTCTCCTAAATTTTTATGGAACCATTCAGTATCTGAAATTAAGATTTTTCTTGAAAACAATTACTGGTTCTCCTCTTAAGTAGTGACTTTGTATCTTAAAATTTTGTAAGGAGCAACCAGTTCATGATTAGTTGGTACAAAATATGTAAAGCAACTTTAATTGATTGAATTTCTTAGTCCGTTTAGTATGGCTCTGAGAAGACAACATAATGTACGTATTAGGTATTTCTCAAGGAAAGAGGGAAAAAAAAAAAAACAGAATAGCAACGCATGTAAGCTAAGGAAAACTGATCAAGAAAATACACAATCCATGAATTCTGGGAGCTTAAGAAAATTAGTTCGCTTACATGCATTAAATTTGGAGAAAATATGAAAAAATTATCTTAATCTAAAAATTTAAATAAAAAATTTATAATATTAGGTGAGACTCTAAAATATGATTTATATTATTTTTAATATATATTTTTTTTCAAATAAAAATTAACTTGTTTTAAACTTTTGTAAAACTTTTGCTATCTTGTGCTTGCATATTTTTTTTATTTAAGTAGAAGAAAATGTAGGAATAAAAAGATTGAGACTAGTGGCAGTTTAAGTATTAATTTTTGATACGAATTATTTTAATTTAAAAATTTAGATTGTCGTATTAATTTCTAAAATATAATGTGCTTGTCTTTGTCTTCGCTTTTCTTAATAGCAACAGAGAAGGATCCTGCGGGGTTTGGCATGCACGGCTCAGGTTCAACAAATCACGAACCATAAAAGAGGAGGCAAGGGGCATCAAACCGGGAATGGAGTGCACGTGACTAGGTAATTATTGAGAGCGACAGAAGAAAAATAATTTTTCACCAATGGTTCAACTTCGGCCAAAATGGTGTTGGGTTTTGGATTTGTGCTGGGGGGACATGATCAGCCCGTGAAATGAAAAGACTACAAGTGTCTATTGGGACAAACTAGAGAGAGTGACGTCGGTGGTAGACACACAAGAGTTGTATTGATCGTGGCCTAACACAGGTTGTTTAAGGGTTCACGAGATGCAAACTTATTTGCTTTCACCTTGGTCTATGTGCCCCCAAGTAAACCCTTAACCTACAAATTAATATTATAATAACTAACATCCGGCTTTCTGTGTTTTTTAATGTTTTCGTTCCCCAGATTTCAGGGAAAAAAACCAACATTTTGGGTTTTAATTTTAACTATAGAGAGTTATAAACTAATGGGACTCGATTTCTATGTTGATGGTATTATATTGGGTCGCGAAAATGACTATTTTCGCCAGCTATATCCTGTCACCTCCTCGTGCACCCATGAAACGAGGCTCGATCGCAGCATGACACATGGCAGAAGGTGAAATAGAAAAACCGGACCGGGGCGTTTCTTGGGGGGGGGGGGGGGGGGGGGGGGGTGGGTTTCATTTCAATTTACAAGGTTGTAAGCAAAAACACGGGAAATAAAATACACAAAAACTCAAAAATTTACTAAACAAGGACTCCTAAAGTTTAGTTATCAAAATACTTATTTTTTTAATACTAAACTTTTAATAGAAATGTTGTTTTTTAAATGAAAATTTTTATGCAGCAAAAAAGATATGAGTAATAACTTTTCTTATTATAAAACATGAATCTATGATAAATACGTAAAACAGATTAGGATAACATTTATTGAATATAAATAGACTTAAATATTGAACTATACGTTGTTTCGGTTAGAAGCTTAGAATTATGTAACTCGTAATGAACAATCCGATGAATTCATCTCGTCACATTATTTAGAGAAGAAACATTTTTACCATAAATTCTACGAGTTTTTTTTTTTCACAAACCATAAATGGCTATATTCCATGCTAATCGTTAATAATAGATTGAAAATTTTTCTTTGGCAAATTTTCATGTTGCCTACTGTAATTCTATACTCCAACTATTAATTACTTTATAAAATCCATATTTAAGAAGAATAGCATTTCACACTTAGAGTAGGAACATTCAAAAAATAAAATGATTTCAATCCTCGTTAGCATTTTCACATAATAGATAGCTAGTATTGATATTTCTTTCCATTAGAATCTTTCTATATTTAATGGATAAACGATTCAAAATTACAAGCTAAGAGATAAAGCTATGTCTTGAGATGTTAAACGATCCACAAATAAGTTTATGCCACACCACTATAGTAATTTTATTTCTGACCAGCTCATTAGTACTTTTAGTTGTGAATTTACTATTTGGTTTAGCTTTTCATATAACTTCGTCATCAAAATTGACATCGGGCACAAGCACGCCACATATAGTAGATTGCAATTTTATCATAGCTTATGATCTAGCATTAGGTTAGAACCACTTTTCATCCTCTATAACAACCTACCAACGAAGCATCTATAGGAATACCAGAGTCATCCATAAGTCTTATGCCAGAGACTTCGATGAGAATTCTATCTAGATGCCAAAGATCCCTCTATAGCTTTATTGTTTCGTCATTACCAACAATATGATGAATTTGTTTCTAAACTAAACTCTGAGCTTGAGAAGTTTCTTCCAATACTAAGCATAAACATTAATGCATTTTAGACACCAAAAGCTTCTTCCTCTCAGTTTATAAGTAGCAACCCAAGCAACCTATAGTCATCTAGCTTTTAGAAACAAACTCCAAATGCATCGTATAATAGATGCATAGTTCTACTCTTTAATCTTCTTAATGCCTAATCAACACCAATAGCTTTGGATGTTAAAGATTACATATGAAATTAGTTGTAATCTAATAACAAAAGATAACATCTTTGTTGCCTAGTGTTGTATTCTAGCTGAAATCCTCTCCATAAATGGTTTGCAATCTTCAAGACTTAGATTTTTAGTAATGAGTGGAATCCCTAAATATCTAATAGGAAATTTCCTAATCTTAAATCCATTCATAGTTTGCATTACATTCACAACTAAACTATCAACTCTTCTGCAGTAGAGCTCACTCATTGACGGATTACACTTTAAACAAGAAAGGATGTAAAATTGCTCTAGAATAGTAGACACATTCCTCGTAGCATTCTCGATCCTCTTTACAAAAATCATCGAGTCATATGCAAAACACAAATGAGTCAAGCAAATCTTCTTACATTTTGGATGAAAAGGTAGGGACCCATCTCTAAGCCTTATTTAACAGTCAAGTCAACACTTTCATTACTATCACAAATAGGTAAGGAGAAAGTGGATCTCGTTGCCTCGACCCTTCTCTTCTAGAAAAAAGTACACAAAAACTGCCATTAATAGAAATAAAAAAGGTAAGAGTTGTAACACAATCTCTAATCCAGTTTATAAACACAGTAAGCATGTTCATGGCTTCTAACATATTGAATAAAAAAATCCCAATTTACAACATCAAAGGCCTTCATTATATCCAACTTAAGAGTGCAACTAGGAGGCATATTTGCTCTCAAATATCCTTTCACAATCTCTTAAGCAAGCAAAACATTATCACCAATTTTTTTATCTTAGACAAATGCTGCTTGATTCAAACCGATCAAGAAAGGAAGAAATATTCTCAGCCTGTTTGCTGACAATTTTGAAATGCATTTATAAAGAATAATACAACACGAGATTGGCTTAAAATTGGTAACGTTATTAGGACTCTATAATTTGGGAACTAAAGTAATTGTCATAGAGTTGACAGTCTTAAGCATTTTACCACTATTGAAGAAATTGATCACAACATTAGTAACATCTGCACCCACTAATTCCCAAGATTTTTTTCAAAAAAGTCTGCTAAAAAACCATCTAGTCTAGGACCTTTATTGATATTTAAGAAGGAAAACACCGATTTAACTTTAGCTGGGGAGATATTAGCCACAATGGTTTCCTTTAAGTAATTTAGAGGTTTATGCACCAATACAGAACTTTAAAAACTAACACTGTCTCCAGTGACAACTGGATCCTTTTTGCCAAGCAATTATTGTTAGAAGCAACTATCTCACTTTGTAATCCAGTGGCGAAGATAATTGGGCACCATCTCCTATAAACAGAATTAAACTATCTTTTCTATACCTCATAGCTCTTGCCATCTTGTGGAAATACCCAATATTTTGGTCCCCTTCCCGTACCCATGTTACTCTAGACTTTTGCCCGAAAAAGATTCCTCGGCTACTGAATATGTAGCTAACAATGAGACCAGCTGTTTTTCATCACCAATCTGCTTAGAAGAAGGATTTGCCATCATAGCAACCTGTAAAGATTCAAGAGCATCTCTAATATGTTTGACCTTGCTGGTGATGTCTCCATAGAAATTAACATTAAGTAGCTTCAAATGCCCTTTTTAAAGCCTTTAATATCTATCACAGCTTATACATAGGTCAACCATGAACTTTCATACTTTAAACATTAGAAACTATATTGAGAAAATCAGCATATATGGCTTAAAAATTGAAATATTTAAAAGGTAGAGGACAAAAGAAATAAGATATACAAGTCTTTACCAGACTTAGAGAGTGATCAAATACCTACGGGTTTAGAAATTCAACTGTGCAACGTGGGAAAACAACCCTCCATCTGTCATTAATGAAAACTCTTTCTAGTATTTTTAATACAAGATGAAGCTTATGCTTGTTGAACCAGGTAAAGAACAAACCAACATATGGATGATTAAATAAGTTTGCTGTCGTTAAACATGCATCAAACTCCACCGCATCAGCTTTTGAATAATCAGAAGTAGAAGTAGATTCTTTAGTATCTCTGATGATATTGAAATCACCCAAAAACGTTTGGAGAGAATTTGTTAAAGAATTACTCGAATTCCTTATAAAGTCAAGCAAATCTTTTTGCTGAGTAAAGACATAGGAGCCATAAAAAAAATGTATAATAGCATACACCGTTAACCAAATCCATCACCTTACAATGTATGAACTAAGCACGAGTCTATAGAACTTGTAAAATTATATCTACTTTCCACAATAGCCCAATTCTACCATGTATAGAGAAATGGTAATTATTGCTAAAGCATCATTCAACGAAGCTCTTAAAAATAATCTCAGAACATTTAGGAAGCTTCACTCTAGTTTCAATCATACACAATGTATCAATGTTGAGGGTTGTACGAAGTCTGCATACCTCACTTTGTCTTAAGGAGTGATTGAGACCCCTAATATTCCAAGTAAGAATTTAACCATTAGAATTGCAACCATCAAAGCACTAGAAGGACTAGATTTCCCTTTTAATTTCTTCTCTCTATTTTTCTTTATCCGTTTTGGCTTCATCTTCTGAATTACCTTTTGGACTTCTAGCTTGAACTAGTTTTTTAGGCCTCCAAGCATAATTCTCACTAGGAAAAGCATGTGCTATATTTAGGGATGACAATGGACGAGTACCCGCCCAATTAATTTAATTTTTTACTATATCCATCAAAACAATACTTTATCCATTATTAATTAAGAAATCACCATATAAATTTTTACCCAACCTATACTTAACTCTGTACTAATTTACCCTCCCATTTAATATCTATTAAATACCCACTAAATTTAATTTATCAAAAATATTCATTTTAGTCACTATAATTTTTAAGAAATTTTTTTTATCATTAATTTTTTTTATTTATTTTTTGTATTTTGGTTATTTATTTATAATTTTTTTGGTCCTCAAAGTTTTTTTTAAAATATTTTAATTCTTAATTTTTAAATTCTACATAATTAAATATCCGTATATTAATAAAAAAATCTAAATAAACTAGTGGGTATTAATAGAGTAAAAAATTTGTATTCATATCCTCAAATTATATTGATGGATATGTATTTTTTTACACTTATCTACTTTAATACTTATTATTTTTG